AATGAGGCAAGACAAAAATATAACAAGCGCACTGCCAAGCGGAGCATCCCCTCGCGACAGGAACTTCAGTGGTAATGGCAGTAGCTCATAAGAGATAAATTTTCTCGAGGGACGTTAAACATGTTAAATATTGATAGAACGATGTATTTTGTTTAATGTCCCTCTCAGGAATTTGTTGATCATATGAAGGCTTTCCGGCGGAGGGCTGCACATTCTTTTCTAAAATAGGAACTGATGACCATCGGGCAATGAGTGATCTTTTTGTACCAGCATATATTGGGACATGGGCCCTTAATTTACATGGTCTCCACGTCCCACAAAGGGATTCAAACCCGCAACAATAGGATCAACTCCCTCACTTTTGACAAAATTATTGGTGGGATGTTGTTGATGAACCATTTTTTTTTACAAAATGCAAAGGGCAAAGCGTCTTGGCTTAAGTGGGGGGGGGGGGCATAACATGGATACCTAATTTCGGGTAGTAATGTTTATAATACGAGTATATCAAATTGTTTTTCAGCACTATTTATTTTTTTTTTAAAATTATCAGGAGTGGAGGATGTTTTTTGAAACAAAAATCAAATTGCATAGCATTTTCGTGGGAAAGAGGGGGGGGGGGGCATAATGTGCATACGTAATAATTGGGCGGTTTCCCTTATGCCTAGCAGAAACATATTACGTATGCAATATGTATGTTTCAGTAATTTTAATTATACCTAAGTATATCTCACGGTTCCAGGCAATATGCATTTTTTTCGTAGTGAAAAATAACAATGTACATATACATCGAGATGTTTACTTAACTTGTGGATTGTATTTACAGCTTTCAGGAATAACGTGCACCCCAAATTCACAAACATCTGTGGGAATTTGATCGTTCATCAAAGTCTTTTAACTCTGGTTCCCGCAGACTTGAACTGGTTCCCTAGCAGAAATGATTATTGTGAACTCGTACATAAAATGTCAGGGTTTCGATATTGTGAAAACGCGATATCTAAAGAAATATTTCAACAATGAACTTGAAAATGAATAGGCTTCATCTTTTTATACTGCCACACAAGTATGTAAACTCTGAGGGTGGTTAATGCACAAGTTTTCTGTTAATCTTGCCCACAAATGATTATTGTCAACTCGTACATAAAATGTTAGGGTTTCGAGGCAGTAAAAACGCAATGTCTGAAGAAATATTTCCACAATGAACTTGAAAATGAATAGGCTTCGTCCTTTTATACTGCCACACAAGTATGTAAACGCTGAGATTGGTTAATGCAAAGGTTTTCTGTCAATCTTGCCCACAAGGTGTAACGAACACACACTAACACACACACATACGCACATTCGCGATGCTATATCCCCTCCGCAACTAGTTGCGCGAGGGCTAGTTGCGCGAGGGGATAAATATATTATGATGGGGTCAGACAAGACAGACTAGAAAAAACTGAAAGGAATACAAAAGTCTTTGGTATCATATTATGCAATCTGACCCCCTAAAATTAAATATAGCATAAAACAGGCACTGATCTGATTGCCTGTCATCAAAAAAGGATGGGATAAAAGAAAATAAACGGGGTGGGTGGATCCAATTTTCAGTTGGATTGTGGCGTTTATTTTCTTCTATTCCACCCTTTTTTGATGACAGGCATATCAGTTCCTGCTTTATGCTATATTTAATTTTATGGGTCAGATAGCATAATATGATACCAAAGACTTTTGTATTCTAATGAGTTTTTGAGTAATTGGTGTAAATAATGACAATAATGTGAAGATGATAATGCGTAATAAATAATTACCAAAAATTATGTAACTGGAATTAGAACTCTTTAGTGTATAAATTACCAAAGTTACTAGACAACTTGGCTTAAAGGAGTAAACTATCTCCAGTTATCAATGATCAACCCAGGTAAGGGGATTTCTGAACTATGGTCAACGCTATATGAAAACACAGTTGTAAGTTTTATCAATTTAATAAAGTGAAAATAAATCGTTGAAAATGATAACAAATAATAAATAATGATCAAAATTTAACAAACAGAAAAGTCTTTGAAAATTGCACAGGAATAAATGAAGTTTTATAAAAAAAAAAAAAAGTTTAATCTGGCAAGTGAATCACAAAACTCTCTATAAATAATCTCAATAAATAAAGAAGTTGTTGTTGAAAAATGAAATAGCAAATGGGAGGAATGTGGAAGACTATGATAAATAAATTATGTCCCTATTGAGCTTATGAAAATGGTCAAAAATCTTATAATAATCAATGAGATGACAAAAATGTAAAAGGGAATGAGCTACATCACCCAATATGACTACTTCATGTACATGACAGAAAGATCTTAGAATTTGTGCGATCTATAATCCTAAAGCATCCGAAGACCTGACAGCTTTTGAAACATCAGTTCAGCGTGCATGTAGCCGAAACTCACAGATCTTGATTGGGGGAGATTTCAACTTGTCAGGATGGAATTGGAAAGATAAATTTCTAAAACCAGGAACCCAGCATACGAAAAATCTCTACCACCCAGCAGATATATTGGATGTTAACGGACTGACACAAATGGTGGAGATACCAACCAGAAACGAAGCAATATTGGATCTATTTATAACAAATATTCCAAACAGGGTTCAACAGATAGAAACAACACCAGGTATATCTGATCATGATATAGTGTTCATGGAAATAGATACTGACCTGAAAAGAAATTGACAGAAACCCAGAAAGATACCACTCTACAAAAAAGCCAATTGGACAAGCATGGCAGAAGAAATGAAGACACTCTATGAAAACATCAAAGGAGAGGATGAAAAAGGTGGAGATATAGAGCATTTATGGAAGATGTTTCGATCAGGATTAGAAAAAGCAATAGATACAGATATTTCAACTAAGTTAGCAAGACAGAAAGATAAATTACCATGGAATACGGGAGACATCAGGAAACTCATAAAGAGACGTGACAGGGCTTACAAGCGAAAAAAGAAAACACATCGTAGAGATGACATCTAGAAGTATAAGGAATTAAAACATCAAACCCAAAAACAGTCCAGGAGAGCATATAGGTCATACATTGAGAGTATACTCATTCCAGAGGATGAAGACAGCACAGCCAAAGGGGTATCTAAGAAATTCTGGACGTACATCACGCATAAGAAGAGTGATATAGGCGGAGTGTCATCATTAAAACAGAATGGCAAACTTGAAACTGATCCTGCAGAAATGGCTAACATCCTAAATGAACAGTTCAAGTCTGTATTCTCGGACTCAGAAAGTGTAAGTAAGGAAGACTTCAAAAGAGGCAAATTCATGGAAGGTGAATCATCAGATTACCCAGAAGCAAGCGATATTAACATCACTGAGGCAGGAGTTTTTAAATTACTCAAAAATCTAAATGCACATAAAACTGGAGGCCCTGATAATATCAAACACACCGTCCTGAAAATCCTTGACAGAGGGAGAAGTACCATCTGACTGGAGAAAGGCCTGCATAACACCAGCATTTAAAAAAGGAAAGAAATACACACCAGAGAACTATAGACCAATATCCCTTACATGTGTGTGCTGTAAGATCATGGAACATATTGTAACAAGTCATATTATGAATCATGCAGAGAAAAATAACATCCTACATCCACTCCAGCATGGATTCAGAAGTAGAAGATCATGCGAAACCCAACTGTTGGAATGCGTGGACGATCTATCGAGGAATTTGGAAAATGGAGAGCAAACAGATCTTCTGGTCCTAGATTTTTCTAAAGCTTTTGATAAAGTTTCCCACAGTCTACTTCTCCATAAACTACATCATTATGGTATCACAGGAAACACACATCGTTGGATCGAGGCTTGCCTTTCAAATAGGAGCCAGGTAGTAGTGGTCGAAGGGGAAGAGTCAGACGTCGGAAGGGAAAGTTTGGAGTGCCCCAGGGATCAGTACTAGGACCCAGCCTTTTCCTATTCTACATCAATGACCTACCAGGCCACCTAACCTCTACAGTACGGCTCTTCACTGACGGTACCATAGTATATTTAATTATTTCAACAAATTCAGATTGTCATATCCTTCAAGAAGACCTAAATAAACTTTCTCTTTGGGAAACAAAATGGAAAATGAAATTTCACCCACATAAATGTACAGTACTCACAGTTTCAAAAAAGAAAAACCCTATTATTTTCAACTACACATTTTATAATCATGTACTTGCCCATGAAGAGTCAACAAAATACCTAGGCTGTATTATAACATCTGATCTGAATTGGGGAATACATATTTCAAATATCTGTAAGAAGGCAAATAGAACTTTAGGATTCCTACATTTTTTTGATATTCGGTTCAAAATGAGGAAAAAACATAAATATGACAGAGGAAATTCGGACAGCAATAATTATTATAGTTTATGGCCCAAACTCTTATCGTTTCTTTATATGAAGCAAAGCTGTTCTGTCGCTATAATATTTTATTATTTAAGAGTTGTGTTGCTTATATTTTGTGAGAAAAGAAAAAAATGGTCATTGTGTTAAAAATTGAGGTATTTCTCAAGAAACACTGAGGGGCCACTAGCATGAAAGGTAGGTCATTGACTTAGTTATTTGAAATTGAAATTTAACACAAGAATCATAGATGTACAATGTGCAATAGGTGGTATTTCGTTCTAATCAGTGTAATTTTTAGTCATCTGAGAAATGGTATAATTATACTTCTTGGTAAGACATATAAAACTCGGAAAAATATTTTAGCGTCCATGAACAGAATGCTTTAGAGAATGTCATGTGAACGCCTGGATAATGTGATTTGCACATAGGCAGAACAATGGTAGATGTTCAATAAAATCAGAGAGGGATACTTTAAAAAATAATAAACACTAAAAAATAATAAACACTGTAACCTTTTTTTATTTGTTTTATGTAAGTTATTCAATTAGTTCGCGAACTTTTTGATCACCTCATAAAATTCGATTATTTTTTTTTCTATTGATAATACGTTGTTCAGTAAATAGTCTTATGTATGTTTTAAATACTTTTAGAGAGAATAAGGATGCCGATTTATGTGCAATTGCTATCGTCAGCCTTTGGATTGATTTTATGCATCGTTGCCACGGCCTTACCTGGATTCTACACTGAAAAGGTAGCTGAAACCTTTAGGAAAGATTATAACTTTATTGGTTTCTAAATTCATAATTGAAAAATTAAATGAGAAAAAAAGGAATCATCGTTTGTTGTGTGACAATCAAAGTTAAACAATCATGTATTTTTATAATAATACAGGATTTTTTTTATTTTGTAATGTCGTAGACAGGCCAATTGAGCATCTTTTACGGCAGGTTTTGTGTAAACGATAAATGCTCGACAAGTTCTTACGTTGCTCGTAATGAGGAACATAATACTGACGGGGAGTATTAACTCGGTAAATAAATTTCTATTTCTCTCTCTCTCTCTCTCTCTCTCTCTCTCTCTCTCTCTCTCTCTCTTTGTGTGTGTGTGTGTGTGTGTCTCGCGGCTATGCAAATCAAAGAACTTACTTTTGATGCTGATTAAATTCTCGCAGCGGTATCCTATACTACATGGTCATTAAGAATAGAAGTGAGATACATTTATTTGGACATAAGTTCTTAGAGGACCGTTACCAATAAACGTTGTAATAAAATTAATTTTATTTATAACATAACTGCCCTTACCTTCAGCAATGATAGATGTGCAGATAGAAAGTCTCCTTGCTGTCGTTTTTGGGGGAGTCGGATGGTTGATTCTTTTTTGGAATACCAAGAGGAAAGCGTCGATTCCATCAAAGTTTGTGACTGGGGGAATTTTACTACTTGTGGCAGGTGAAAACTTTGTACCTTACCGCTGATGTGCTATAAAATTTGATAGCAGTTAATAGAATATTATCTATTCAATGAAAAAGAAATAAATGTGAATGTGGATCAAAACGTTGTGGTAAAATCAATACCATGTTTAGGCTATAGTTTAAAAAATAAATATAATTTGTCTTACGTTAGCTTTTTTTCGTTCATAGTTACATCTGAGTTCGCTGTCTTGCTTCGATTTATCGCCACAAACGAATCCAGAAAAGCATCAAAAGGAGAAAACAGCTCTATTGGAGTGCCATACTCACTAATATTTGTCGGTTTCGGTATTGTATTCATTCTTTTTGAAGTTGTAAGGAGCTTTAGCCTCCATATCAGCCAGGAAGGAACTAATCACCAGATGGTGGGTGGAGTGGAGTTGAATAACAATGAAAACAATATCTAGAGTAAATCGACATCATGCTTAGTATTGATACAGGCGCATACCATATATGAATTAAGGATGATTTATATTGCATATTATATACGCACTATGTGTTCTAATCTTAATCCACTCATTACCTTCAAATAAAATTACAATTTAAAACAAGAGGCCCAGGGGCCACAGCGCTCACCTGAGCACATCGGGCTTGAATTTATCCCCCCCCCCTCCAGGCGTTCATCATTTGAACAAATTAGAATCTACACTACCTGAGGATGATTCCATATAAATATCACTAATCATAGCTTTGAAGTACTTGAAAAGAAGATTTTAAAAATTTTCCCTATATATCCCTATGTAAAACTTGGGTCGGCCATTTTGGCCCCACCCTAGCCCCGGGGGTCATGATTTGAACAAACTTGAATCTACACTACCTGAGGATGATTCCACATGAGTTTCATCTTTCCTGGCCCAGTGGTTCTCGAGAAGAAGATTTTTTAAAGATTTTTCTAATATATTCCTATGTAAAACAAGGGTCGGCCATTTTGGCCCCCCCTTGCCCCGGGGGTCATGATTTGAACAAACTTGAATCTGCACTACCTGAGGATGATTCCACATGAGTTTCATCTTTCCTGGCCCAGTGGTTCTCGAGAAGAAGATTTTTAAAGATTTTTCTAATATATTCCTATGTAAAACAAGGGTCGGCCATTTTGGCCCCACCTTTGCCCCGGGGGTCATGTTTTGAACAAACTTGAATCTACACTACCTGAGGATGATTCCACATGAGTTTCATCTTTCCTGGCCCAGTGGTTCTCGAGAAGAAGATTTTTAAAGAATTTTCCTATATATTCCTATGTAAAACTTGGGTCGGCCATTTTGGCCCCCCCCCTTGCCCCAGGGGTCATGATTTGAACAAACTTGCATCTACACTACCTGAGGATGATTCCACATGAGTTTCATCTTTCCTGGCCTAGTGGTTCTGGAGAAGAAGATTTTTAAAGATTTTTCTAATATATTCCTATGTAAAACTTGGGTTGGCCATTTTGGCCCCACCCTTGCCCCGGGGGTCATGATTTGAACAAACTTGAATCTACACTACCTGAGGATGATTCCACATGAGTTTCATCTTTCCTGGCCCAGTGGTTCTGGAGAAGAAGATTTTTAAAGATTTTTCCTATATATTCCTATGTAAAACTTGGGTCAGCCATTTTGGCCCTACCCTTGCCCCGGGGGTCATGATATGAACAAACTTGAATCTACACTACCTGAGAATGTTTCGACATGAGTTTCATCTTTCCTGGCCCAGCGGTTCTGGAGAAGAAGATTTTTTAAAAATACCATTAATATTTTACAAATTCATGTTTATCTCCCCTTGGAAAAGGGCGCGGCCCTTCATTTGAACAAACTTGAATCCCCTTCACCCAAGGATACTCTGTGCCAAGTTTGGTTGAAATTGGCCCAGTGGTTCTTGAGAAGAAGATGTAAATGTGAAAAAGTTTACAACGACGACAACAACAACAACGACAACGACAACGACGACAAACGACGGACAAATTTTGAACAGAAAAGCTCACTTGAGCCTTCGGCTCAGGTGAGCTAAAAACACACCATTTGGACAAGGCAACAACATGTAGCAGCTTTACTGTATTATGTACATAACATATGTAAAATATGAAAATCAATCTTAATGTACATGTAGATGTTGGAGTGAATAAATAAAGATGGAATTTTAACTTTTATTGTGCTCTACGTGTCTTCATAAACTACCATTGCAACCAATATTCACGTAGGAATGTTAATTCGGCGAATTTACACATTTTTTGTAATATCATATATGCAACGCTGCTATAACGGAAAAGTCTTGTAAAAAAAATTTTTTGCTATCATTAGCGATTCTATAGTCTTCATGTGACGTATATAAATGGTAACATATGCCTTAATAAAAAAGTTAAAAGTTCAACACTACCCGGGAGATAATTAATTTCTATTTGTAATAATAGTTATGTAAAATAATCTCTGTACAATAAAAAGTGCTACTAGAATCCTACTCTCCTATCAGTCTACAGAGATAATTATTCAACACTTTCGGATGAAACCCTACCAAATTTTTTTACATTTTGTACAGAAGATTGAAAAAAAATCACCAAATCCTGTGAACCATACGATTCTAGCAGCACTTTCCAAAAATTGTAGAATAAGGAATTTTTAATAGGAATAAAATTTATGTTCAAAGTATGCGGCGTAGTGTTGAACTTTTGCATCTTTTTTGTTGCGAACGACAGAGGAAAGGCTGGTCGGGAGGAAAACATACTGTCTGCTTTCATTTTATGAAGAAATTGAAGAAATATTAGCATACCTTATTCATAAGTTTTATTACCGCATGAATCACACACAATAATCATGCTAAATGCTTTCACGCCTTTTAACCTCCAAATTCTTGTGTTACTGATCAAGTTATGACGTCACGGGTTTGGTATTTAACCCCCGTGACAAAATACATAGATATTTATACCACCCAGAAACGACAAGATTGTGTCTACATTAATTTGGGTCTACTGAAAACTATCTATAGGCAAGAAGAATATCTGGTTGTAGCCTTGACATACCCGCGTACCTCTTATATCGCCTTGCTAACGAGACTCTAAAGAACCACGTGATTTTCGAATGAAAATGTTGCAATTCCGAACAAGTCATTCATTATCACTCAAAGTAGAAATTGATTTCTGTCTAATTCGTCCCTCAAACGAAAGAAATCATATTATTCACATATGTAGTGATTTCAGGCAATTGATCTCGGTCATATTGAATACTGTAAAACGAGAAAATTTGGCGCATACGTATTTTAGCGCAAACGCAAGTGGGAATGCATTAGCGCAAATAATTAAATTTTAGTGCTTTACACTTGTCATTAAAATATATAAATGTGATATTGTTTTTTATCCTCGCCCGTATTTGACTTTTTGGTTAGTCAAGCAAACACTCAAGTATATAAGTCAACTTTACCGTCGTGTTGCAATCACATGGACGTGGCACAATGTTAATTTTATTGTAATTTTAAAAGAAATAGAGTATTTACGCAATTTATTCATAATCAAAGAAGGCCATGCATTGAAAGAAAATAACTCTGATAAACGGAACTGGGAAATCATACAGGCACGTGGCATCGTTTTTGAAAGTGGGGGGGGGGGCAACTAGAGATTTTTTTTTCTTACCTGAAAAGGCTGACAAGCAAAAAAAATTTAAATTTCTCCAAACTCGAAAACTATTTCATGTGTTTGTGTGTGTATGGGGGGGGGGGGGGTGATAGTGGCCAACTTTTTTCAAGGTAAAGTTCCTTTTACTTCCTATCTTTTTGCTACATTTCCTTGATATCACTATACTGTTGTCAAAAGTGGGGGGCCAACCATCCTTTCAATGGTCATTCTCCATAGTGAAGGTAATGTTGGCAAAAAAAGTGGGGGGGGGGGGGCAGGCCCCCTGCCCCCCCCCCCCCCCGGTTGCTACTTCCCTGTCATAATTAGGTATGTCTGCAAGCTCAATCGCCATGCTTGATTAAATTGTTTATCTCGAGGCGATGGATGATTGACACGCCGAGAAGCCAAACTTTGACGGTACTAATATTAGGTATCGGGTAACAACTAACAATAGTTTAATCAAATTATAATTTGGCAGAACTTTCTCGATCGATGCTACCATGTACACTGCTAGTATGTATATAAAAAAAATCCAAAGCCCCTTCGACATTACGTAGTCGCGCGTTCCGGTATACATGTACTTTTGTGAAAGCTTTGAACACACACAAAAAATAATATTTAGAAATCTGTTAGAGCACAACAAATTTTAGCGTTCAGGGGCTCTTGCGCCAAAGGCGCTAAAATTAGTATTGCGCAAAATATTCTCGTTTTACAGTATGACATCGTTTACTTATTTACTCAAAAATCTAGATGTGATGACGTGACAGTGGTGTCTGCATAAAAGTAGATTCTTAGTTTATTGCGATTAAATGCAAAAATTATTGCGATTAAACACAAAACGCAATAAGTATTGCGTTTATTCGCAAAAGTATTGCGTTTAAACGCAAAACATTATTGCGATTAATCGCAATGTTTTGCGTTTAAACGCAATAATTATTGCGATTAAACGCAACGTTTTGCGTTTAAACGCAATAATTATTGCGATTAAACGCAATAAAAAATATTTCTCTCTGCGAATTGGCCTCAACTGACGTCCGTAAGTTTAAACTCTCTATCAATAATTATTGTATTGACAAAAAAATTATTAAAATTATGGTAAGCAATGGAATGTTAATTTTCTTGTTGATAACTCGCACATTTTGTCATCAATTATTTGTGTAAATACATAAATATTTCAACTTACATATGTTATTATTTAGTCATGTATAAATGTCTATACTACATTTTAAAGTAGTTTTTAATGTTCCAAATTGTCTGAAATAAAACAAATTGATTGATGGAATGTTTAGTTATGTAAAAAATATCAAACAAAAGTTGTTTTTTTTAGTACGTGAGGACGAGGTAACAATCAAAGTCACTATTCCTGTCCATGAGTCGAATTATATATTTGGTATTTTCATCTTTCTTTGATTTTCAGGGGGTAACTCTTGCTCATGAGTTTACGGCTAAAATAAGATCTTTCATTCATAAAGCATCCGAATTATCGCCTGAACCAATAGATCTAAAGATTTTTATTAAAATCTATGCATTAGGATATTATGAATCAGCCTAAAGTTCAAAGGTCTGCCTTTGAAGCTATGCAGAAAAACAAGAAAAAGTGCATTGGTTTGAGCGATCCTTACACTTTCCTAACATAAATTTATAGGCCAGATTTTTTGAAAATTTATAATTATAGACCAAATCAGAAGCTGTATAATATCCTAATGCATAATTTAGCTGTATTTCAAACTCGATTTTGAAAGATTCAGACATGGCTTTCTTTCTTTTTTCGATAATTTGGAGAATTAAAAAAAACTCCTCTACTGTTACATGTATATGACTGAGAAGAAACAAACATGTATTTTTATTTCTGCCATTTTTTGATATGTTATTTCATTAAAATGGTAGAAGACACGTTATTTCATTAAAATCTCAGACTGTTCTTAGGCGGTTTAACTCTAGATAATTTTAACAGGTTTAAAGACATGC